AAATTTTGTTAATAAATGACGTTTCACAACATTTTTGTTGAAATTAATTACTGTACGAATACTTTTTACACTGACTGTATATACATAATAGTATATACAAAATAGACTATAAACCTAATTTTAACTCTAACCAAGGAAAATTTGAAATTATATTAAGGAAACTTACGGGCATAATTGCTGCAAATCTTCTTTCTTCGTAGCGAAACTCAAGTCGTTGTTGTTAATCATCTCAAAAGGTCTTCCACACTTGACAAGTCTTTCGTGTCCGCACTCCTGGCTCCGACAACTGCCGAGCACTGAAACAGAAACGCCATAATAATATAGATCGGGAGCAATGGAAACGAACAATGAAGTTTAAACTTGACGATAAGCTGTTCTCCGGATGAATAATGGGAAAGAAACGATGAAACTCTCTTGAAGATATCTCATTGAACAATTCTGAGCATTAAAGCGCTGTTTACGATTTATCGACCGTGCGATGAGAAGAGGAAACTAACGCGTTTATTCGCTACATTATTCTTTATTTAACTTATTGCGGTCGTATATCAATCCTCAGACTCCACATCGTGATATTATTCTGGACATTTGTTATCCTGACTCGACGCTTCGTTGATATAAAACGAATATTTTGACAAGAATTTATTTGAAAAGAATAGGTAGTTAGTCGATACAGAAACAATTTTTGCGATTTAGTAATTAGTAACATTTTATATGCAATAATTTTTGTAACTGAATATTCGTGACTTATCTTTAATGTAACTGATATTCACTCATTTTTTATCCACATCGTAAAGGGTGTAAAACATAACAGCATATTTTTCTTTTTAATCTTCAAACCTTCCTATCTATAAATTTAGTAATTTACAAATGTTTACAACTTTTACTTGCGAGCTTTCAAAATTTCAAATTTTCTGATTCTTATCTTCTAATCTCATAATTTTCCAGTTTCTTAATGTTTACACTTTTATAATTTTCCTATTTTTCTCGTTTGCAGTTTTCTAATTTTTTATTTTCTTAATCTCTAATTTTCTATATTTCCAATAGTGTAATTTTCAAATAAAAAAGTCTTAAATAATAAATCCTCGAATTCACAAATTTGTAAACTTTCATCTGCCACAGATCTATTGCACGGCAATATAACAAGTTGAACAACAACTGCGAGTTTAACTATTCCCCACTACTTTATGTCATTCGGTTCATTATTTAACATTATTTTAAAGCTTGATTAATTGAATTACAACTGTACAAAATATGTAGACACGTATTACTGGAAAAGTTTGTTATTACAAACAGAAGTTTATTTAACCCTTTGCCTTACGATTTAATTTCCAACTGTGCGGGCCAAAAGCGACAATAAGGTCGGTCGCGCGCAGGGACATACACAGCTTAGCTCAGCGTTCGAAACTGTACAAATCGCAAACTTCCTGTGATTTGTATATATACGTGCGCGGTACAATTAACTTTGCAAGATGTTTGATAAATAATTACGATTAGTTGATTATTAAACAAAAAAAAAAAGATTTATTGTTGCAAGTTTCAGAAATGTCTTGTTTATGTTTCGCCCGGTAGACTTACGACGACTCTGAGGCGTCTTATTCATGTTTGGCTCGATAGACTTAGGACGCCTCTGAGGCGTCATTGTAAGCTAAGGGGTTAAAGCTTAAAATTGGGAATTTATATCCCCAAATAAATTTTAAAGTAAAAAAAAATGCGTTATTGTATAAATTAATAATACACATTTTTCAACCAAAGTAATTATTATTCAATTCTTATTAATTCTCTTTCTTTCCAATTCAATGTAGCAATTGAACTAATTACTGAAAAGTTTTCAAAACTATATCGAAATTTGGATGATGCATTCACTAAGATTTATCAAATGAATAAAGTTTATTAGATAACATAAAGATTTTTCTTTAAAGGCAGTACCACGAATTCTGTAAATGTCGTTGTTTTGCTTGCTGTGAAGTTTTAATCTCTTGCGTACACTTCAACCTGTTTTACGACTTTTTAATTAAATATCGTTAATTTAAAGTGTTAATGCAATTCAAAGTACTTTACAAACGAGGTTTAAATAAACCATGGAATTGTTTTTCCATTTGCAAGTACAAACAAGCTAACGCTGAATGAACAGAAAATTTTTAACTCGCAATCGGAGACTTAAAACTGAATAATTTTTTTTTCATTCTTACAAGTTACTAACAAATAAACGTTCGCAAATAACAGAGGAAAGGACACATCGAAATACATAAATGTATAAAACAAAATTTAAATACGACTTCAGTTTTATCTCTAGAACAGTACTTTTATAAAATCACTTTTGTCATCGTTTTCTCAGGAAGTTGTTATTCTTTGGGAGGTAAGACCATCGAGAGAAAAGTCGATCGTAACCTCGCTCAGACACTCGACCCAAATTAATCTGTCTGTCTGCGATCGAATTGATTAACGTATTACCTACTACTGTTAACTGTTTTTGTAAGAAACACGATTTGTTGTTTTGATTTCTATTTGTACGCGGCGCTGTATGCGTGTTTCGGACGCGGGATCGCGCGGGTCGACGATCGACAATAGACAGTCGACATGTAACATGGCGAGAAGAACACGTGGTGTGTATTTCTACGCAGAATAAAGGACGTATTTTGTGATTATTATCTTTATTGTATTAAAATTGCTTGTGTATATTTATTATTCCTGTACGCCACGCGACCTTATAAACAACAGTTTTTCTTACAAGAAGAAATTTCTCAAGTATTATACTGCTTTATAAAACTTAAAAAACTCTGAGCCGTTTGTTTTGAAAGCGAGACAAATTCATTTTTGAAAAAGAAAGAAAATAACGAAAATAATAGAAATATTTTTTGGAACCGAAGTGCAGAGGGTTACAGTGTATACACATTAATTTGGTAAGTTTCGGAAACATTCGGTTGTAGTCGAAAGCATCGAAGTAGAAGACGATGGATTGAAATAACACAGTAAAAAAGCGCATCAATTTTATACGTGAATAGAGAAATCAATATATTATTTAGTACTAATATTATTACTAATCTTTAACTTTTGATATTCGAGTTATAAGTTTTCTTTCGAAGTCGACTTCTTGTAGCTGCCACGTGCTCGCGAACAAAAAACCGGCAACCACGCGTTACGAATATCGCTGACTTTACCCGAGTGACACACGAACATTCCGCCAGAGACATGCAGTCACCACGAATGTTCTAACGATTATTTTCAACAATTATTAATACACTTATTTGTATGAAAGCATATATTTTAAATATGTAAAAAATTATGTATCTGAAAGTAGCGTTTATTTTGCCTCCCCATCATGGATGCACAACAGAAGCGTCTCTCAATTATTTCTATTTTTTAATGAAATCATTCAATAATTAAACTTAATGCGAACGTAATGAAACAAACCATGTTTTGCTACTAGAACAAAGCAGCTGCAACCAAAGACCGTGATAAATCGACGTTTGAGTCCGTTTATCGAACAGTGAAGTAACAGCCTTGGTATGGATGCACTACTGCACGTTCGAGCAATACCAGGTTGATCCACTTGAGCCCCGGTTCGTCTTTTTGCAAGGATTAAAGGAGATTACGTGCGGCCAACACGGCCGCCAAGCTAACGAGAATTTAGCTAACGTTCCATAAACTGGCTGCCAGACGCACCTGCTCGGTTACTTACACGTGTTACATACTTGCAACATGTAATGCTCCTGTTCAAAGATCCTGTGACATCGTAATTTCACTCTTGCTCCAAAATCGAAATTTCATGGTGTACGTAAATATGTGAAATTAAACATAACACAATATTGTAAAATTTAATGCTTTGTTTAATTATATCATGAGTTTTCATTAAATACACTTTTTACTTTAAATTTTATGTTACAGATTTTTACCTAATATACTTTGTTGTGCAAAATAAAGAAAAGTAAATTTTGACATTCTCACAAGTAATGCAAATCAATAATTGATACAGAATCGATGTATGCTCAGAATACAGCCAAGTAGTTTGAGACTAATTGTGTGCGCCTTTATGAAATTTTTATTAGATTCTTTGTATGTATTTCTGATTATAATATAAAAGTATTGTTTATTTAAGTATTGTTTATTATGTAATGACTTATATAATAAAAAAATGTTAATAGCTTAAATATTCTATAAGAGATAACTAAAACTGAACATAAATTATTTTTTTTTTTAATTGAATAAATTAATCAATGAAATTTTATTAAATGAATTAAAATTATAAAAAATAAAATTAATATAAGTGAATTTTGCTGTATATATTAATATATATTCTATAACTGTATGAGTAGTTATAAATGAAATTAAGATTAAGGTGTATGATTAATACATAAAAAAGCTAACAATTATTGTTATAAAAAACAAGAAATATTATTGATAATTTTATTAATCACAAAATTAAAAATTTTTTTATATTTAAAAGAAAATATAAATAAATTGGTGTCGAAGATTGCAATAATCATACAATCAGTATATTATTAGTATGTTATTAACCATAAAAGTATAATAATAAATAAACAATTGAATAAGTAAATAAGTGAAGAAATCAATTGTTCATTCAAAGACTAATTAAATAAAAACAGAGTGCCAATCGTCTCGCTTTGTGAGATTGATCCCCGAATGATCAAACAAAGTTTTCGATAAACCGTTTCGTGTAATTGGAATTTTAATCAAAAATTTGGTAATTCTGAATACCAAACACAGAAAACGCATTTCCTGGATACTTAACGATGACGAATGTGCGTGGTTATTATCACGGTGTAACAACGACGGGTAAAAAACCATTCGTTTAAATTAAGAAAGTTAATTCGGATTTAATGGTGTTTTGTTTGGTTCGCCGGAACAGGTGGACACGTTCTTCTTTCCCTGGCCTTTCGCAATTCCGTCCTTCTTTCTTTACTATTTTCATCACGTATCATGACCCGTGACACTGAACCAAAGCAAAACCGACCTGTATATTACATCCTGATTTTTCTTTTCTTTTTTCCGTGCAGTAAAAACAACTTTGTACAAGGAAGCTGCACAAACCTGTGCGTTAAATTATTTTTTAATCAAAATAACAGAATGGTGATGAATTTTTCATTTCATAAGAAAGGTTCGTTTATTACATTTTATATGGTATTATTCTCGCACGAAAACATTATAATTATTACTAATCTAAGGGTTATTTGTGCAGAATTTGCATATATGTATAACTATTGGTATCATTATTATGTAATTATTTAGCTACTTAAAGTGTATACAGTGTGTCTCAATAAGATCTATATTTAAACAT